TATTTTTGTTTCATTTTATCATTATATTTCTTATCATTTTATCTCTTATTACCAGGCTTACGTTATTAAGAGACAGCTCAAATATGTAAAATTAACAATGCTATTTAATAAGAAAAATATCTGTGTTTATGCTATCTGCTTAAAAGAATGTTAAATTGTATAAAAACTTGGTTTTTTAGGACTCTTTTACTTATGCACTTTACATAAAGTTGATTTTTAATAGATTTTAGACTCAAAACATTTATTCTTATGAATTCTTAACTTATTTAACTATATTAGGATATTTTAAACAATTTTTTAAATTTAAAAGGATTAGTTCATCTTTGAATGAGATTTATCTTATTGATATAACCTTATTGAAGACATTAATATAAAAAGGATATTATATTTACTTATTAATTATTTTATAATTTAAGGCTAATTTGAAAATTTGATTTAATTAAAAACCAATATGTTCAAAAATTTTAGTTTACAGATTATTATAATTGGTTCAACAAACCTCTAACTTTCCTTTTGTTATTATCTTATATTAATATGATAAATTATTATTTATTATAATCCAAACAAATTTTAACGAATTCCAAAACATCATTATCTAAATATTAATATAATTCCCCTCCTATATCTAATTCAAATAATATCATTAATAACATAAATATTAATAACATAAATATTTATAGTCTTAAATTTCACATTTAAGATATTCTGTTTCAAAATCTTACTATAATTTATAATCTAGATAATGCAAAAAGTTGTATCAGCAAAACAACTTAATGGATTTTGATATTTTATGGTGTCAGCTTTTATCAGTTTTCTTTAATTCATGATTTCCCGGCTTATCTGGTTCATTCAGAAATTGAAAATCTTAAAATGATTAAATACCTAATTTAGCTTTATTTTAATTTTTAATCACATTGTCAAATTTAAAAAAAAGATTAATTAATGTTTGAATGATAAATTTAGAGTCTCAACTTTTATTTTAAAGGATCCATACAAGAATTTTGGGATTGATGATATTAAATTAATTTATCTAGCTTGACAAAAGGCTATTCACAGTTTGCAAAGTATAATTAGTTACTACATAAAGATTTACCAATATTTAAATTGATATGATTTGTATTTAATTGAATGAAAAGAATCAAAATATTAAAATTTTGTATTTATACTTAAATAAATTAAAATATTATCATGCATCGCTTGCTAATAAAACTGGATATGATGTATTTTTTTCTGAATCATTTACATGAATCATACTCTTTCTAATTCGAGTTTGGTCTTCTTCAATCTTTTCTCTTAAAGGCTGGTGTAGTGTTTCTCTTAGAGGGAACAATAGTAAAGAACATAAAATGCAAATTACCCCAAAACCAATCATTGGATGAACATGTAGAGAAGAGCATAAATTACTTAAAAATGCTTAAGCTATACTACCAAAAGATCCTCCAGCCGAAATTAAACATAATGCAAGAGATCTAACGACAGAAGGGAATAATTCAGAGACATAAATATATCCTAAAGCCCAAACTGCACAGACCAGAAATCTCATCATCTATTAAGATTATTTAATAAACATACTCCAGCAAAAATGCCTTCAAAAATTCGAAATACTATGTGATCACTTTAGAAAAGGAAATATAAGCTCATCAATCCTATAATGAAGAACCCAGTTATAATGTTTGTTTTTCTTTTCAATTTTGTTATAAAAAAGTCTAAAGTAAAATAATAGATTACCTAAAGTTGCAAATGCTAATAGTTCAAAAAAAGCAATAATGAAATTAGTAGTGAAGAAATTGAGACCTAATTGATCACTTACAAAACTGATTCCATAATATGTCACCTTAATTGCAAAAAACATCATCACTCCAGCAAAAAATACATACCTTAAGGACTTATATTTCAATAAATCCAAAATGGAATATACTCTAGAATTATTTTCTTTAATTTATGGGTTAGATTGTAAATCATCAATATTTATTGGTTGAGTTCCATTTAGTTTGGCAATTTAATTAAGAACCTTGACACATTTTTTCTTATTTTTTGTATATAGAAATTATGGAGATTCAAATATCAACAAGTTGCCAATATTCAACAAAATTGATGGAATTGCAACTGAAACTGCAAGCCATCTCCAATTAGTAATAAAATATGCTAATGCTATAATTCCAAACTCTCCCAAGGCAAAAAATACTTAGACTCCAACATTTTAAATTTCTCGAAAATTACCTTCTATAAAATCTTTGATATAAATAACTTACAGGAATGCTCATTGATAAATGAATAATGAACAGTAATCGTTGGATTACCTCCAAACCCTAAGAAGAACAGTCCTATGGCTATCATTTAATAATTCATCGCAAACTTAAAAATTATACATTTAATATACAGTAACTATGAGGGCTCCTAATGAAGTCATGGACCAAGAAATTGACATTGACATTTTTCTACCATAGTTATCAGCAATGAATGAGAATATAATCAACCCAGATACAGAACCAAGATAAACAATAGATTAAATTATTGATTATAAGGTTTTGTGACAGGGTAACAAAGCATTAAAAGCTGTGTTTAATGATTCACCTATGACAAATTCTTAACGAAATGAATCATCCTAAATTATTATAATCATGTACACAAATGTAAGCCAAGCACTTTTCATCCAATGATTCAGATGTACACGAGTTTAGACATTCAGCATTTGACTAACAATCTATTGTCGGTTTAATAAAAAAGAAGACAGGTGAAAACAATATCCAACTAAAAAAATTAGTAATTCTTTATAACCTGGTTATCAGCCATTACAATCCAAATATTAAGAAGGCTCTTTTTTAATAAAAACCTTCACCACCAACTTAGGTCAATGCTTCATCGTAAGTCAATTATTTTGAGTCTGTGATAGCGGATTCTTGATGTACTTGCATAATATAAATGAAATAACTTCAATTTATATGGATATATAAACCTTAAATGAAAATTGCGTAATAATAGTCGTAATGAAATTATTATAAATTCCTATAAATTATAAAAATTATAATAGTCAAGTCTAAGTCATCAAAATTAATTTCTTTTTTTGAATAAATTACATAAATATATATTATTAGATCATATTATTTCATAACATTAATGATTTAATTTTCATTTCAAAAAATTATTAAAAACGAAATTACATTAGTTCATTCAAAGAGTAAAATATGTTTTGGTTAAATCTTGATTTCTGACAATGGCGCAAATGGTTACCATAACATAAATATTTGTATTAATAATTCTTGATTAATACTTTTCTAAGATATAAATTCTTTATTATTATTAAATAAAACCTCATATGTTTTCTTTCAATTTCTCTAATTCATTAACTAATTTTAATCTATGAATTGATTAGATTAAGGATGGTGATGTGGCTTCCATTCCTTAAGAATTTTAATCTTATAAATTCTTATTTATAGTGTTAATTAAGGGTAAAATTGAAGACTGATTATAGAAAAGTTGTATTTCTCATCAAAAATATTTTATTTTAAACAAAAAATGAGATAGAACCTATTCTCAAACAGAATCATATCAAAAGTAACATAGCAATAAATATCTCTCAACCTGGTATTAATTCAATTTTCATATATATGCTATTCTAAAATGCTTGGTTATAATTTCAAAAATTCAATAAAGCTGGCTTTGATAATGATATAATGAATAATTATCTGAGTTCTCTTTTAAAGATAAACAAAATTAAGATCAATAGATTGTAATAATAATATATATAATAAATTATTCTATGTGATTAATTCGTTTAGAAATTCTTGAAATAATTATTTAAAATTATAATCTGAGGTTCTTTTGCTTGATTTTGATAAAAATTAAAATAACATATAGCATTACACTAGCAATTTATTTTTAATAATATGATTGTTTTTAAATTAATGCATCTCTTAATATAAGATTAACTATCATGTTTATCTAATATCGTTAAGTTATTTATTCCAACAAATATATTTAATATGAATTTTATAAGGATCAAACTTAATAAACAATAACTTAGATTTAGATAAAGTTTGATGATTTCTCTGAAGGCAAATACGAATAAGTTGGATTGCTTTGGGATTACTATTGGAACAGATATTTTTAAGTTCAATATTATATTACTCGGACAAAAAAAAAGTTAATCAAATACTCAACTAATGATGAAATCAATTTAAGAGTGTACCTATTATAGTATATTCCAATTCAGAGATACATTAAAAAACTTTGCTTATTCATGGAATAATTTAGAATAGATCAAATATTTATAGTGGTTTGAAATATAAAAATCTAAAATACACCAATTAGATAGATTGATATTAATCTGGAAAGGTAAAATGTTAGAGGATACTGGTGGATAGTACTCTAATGGATTAAAGTAAGGTTATTGGAAAGAGCCAATAGAAAATTATTGGACGTATCAATAATATTTGATATTTAGTTTATCACAAGCATATTAAATTGGACTATATTAAGATGGCAAGAGATTTGGAATATGGATAAATGTCTACGAAGATTAGGTGATGTAGTGTTAAATATAAAAATTATTTACAGTGGTGGTGGAACATATGATGACAAGCATAACAAGAATGGAAAATGGATAGAATTAAGTGAAAATTTTTCTAGGTATTGGAAATTGTAATTAATATTTAGCAATTCTTATATCACATATAATGGTGAATATAAAAATAATAAAAAGATTGATAAATTGGAGATCAATTACCGATTTTCAAGTATTTATCAATTTGAATGGATGTAAATATGTATATTTTGTTTAGTGGTGGTGGATCGTACAACTAGGAAGGCATTAAGAACTGTTTTTGGATTGACTTGATTGAAAATTTCTATCGGTATGATGAAAATTAAGATTATTTATAATTTCTTAGCTGAAGATAGGTTATATTTAAAGGAGATTATCAAAACAATAAAAAAATTGGTAAATGGGGTACTTATTATAGAACTGAGGGTATATTTTCATGCGATTTTTAGTTAATGTAAATTTGCTATAATTTTATTTATTAATTTAGTGGTGGCGGATCATATGATAAAACAGGAATTAAGGTTGGTTAATGGATTGAGCTAAGCAATTATTTTTATAAGTATTGTTTTAAATATGATAATATATATAGTTATAGTTAAGTTACTTATGAGGGACAATATTAAAATGGAAAAAAAATAAACTAATGGGTTACCAAATACAAGTAAAAGGATTAAGTATAATTTATGTAAAAATTATTAATCTTCAATTTTGATTATAGTTATGGTGGTGAATATGATAATGAGAATATGAAGAAAGGATTTTGGATTGATTTGAGTGATGACTTTAGGCAATTTTAAAATTATGATATAATAAATAGGGATAGCTAAATCGTTTATTAGGGGATGTATCATAATGGGAGAAAGATTGGTAAATGGGATATCAATTTTAGGGAGTTTAACACATTTCAATAAATGTATTATAATTCATCTTTTTATTATATTTATTAGAGGAGTAACTTATTATGATGAGTAAGGTAATAAAACTGGATTGTAATAAGAAACCAGCTCAAGTTTTTTTAAGTATTCAGATCAATCATTTATCATTTTTTAGTTTAAGTTAAATTGTGTATAGAGGAGAATATTATTAGGGTCATAAAAATGGTAAATGGAAAAGCTTTTGGAACAATAAGTTAAAAGTTGAATAACTGTATAAAAATAAATTATTATATCAATTTTTTATTAGGGGGTGTGGACTATATGGTGAGAATGGTTTAAAGAATGGAATTTGGATTGAATTGTCAAATGATTTTAACGAGTAATTAATTTTTGTTATTATCAATATTAGGGATAAATAGGTTATTTATAAAGGCGAGTATAATTGTGGATAAAAGGTTGGGCTATGGGAAACTAATTTTAGATTCTCTTAAAATTTTGAGGAAATGTAAGCATGATAGTCTCTTTAATTTTAGAGGTTGTGGATGCTATGATGATGATGGAATTTAGAATGGATTATGGATAGAATTGGATGAAGATTTTAGTAAGTATTAAAAATACTGTAATTGATTAATAGCTCTAAATAAATCATTCATAGGGGGGAATATAAAAATGGGAGAAAGGTTGAGAAATGGTTAGAATTCAAAAGAGATAAATTGAAAATTTAGGAAGGATTTAAAAATACGTATGTGTTATTTTCATTTAGTGGGGAAACGATTTATTATCAAAATTGAAATAAATGGAGAGGTCGCATAATATTCATAAAATTATTCCAAATAATTTAATTTCATGTTAATTTTTTTTTTGGTCTTTTATAAACTTGAAAAGCAAATAGAAATAGTTTTTATTATATAATTTTAAATTGTAAGGCACTACTCCCATTATTAAGAGCTCAATCCTAATTAATATATCTTAATACTTTGTTAAAGAATAGTATAATAAATTAACCTTTTAATAAGGAAGTTCAAGGATTTAAAAATCAATACTGACTCTTAGTTTAGTAATGAAATTGATTTAGTTCCTAATTTGTTTTATTTGAATTTGGAGAAAAGCAATTTGATTAGAAAACTATAT